GTATAGGTTAGAGCATACACAAAGTGCATACCACGAGACTTTCCCTCGGGTTCTCCGCCTGAAGGGCATGGCTGCTGCCCTGGCGGGAGAAGTGCCCGAGGATTTCCAGTGACCCACTGCTGCCCTCTCTTGTGGCCTTTGACTTGGCATAGGCTTTGCGCTTGCTGGATGATGATGACATTGGTCGTCCCTCAGACCGAGCTTCGCCCATGGCCAGGCTGATAGGGTTGTGCGTACGACAATACGACAATACGACAATACGACAATACAGATGTAAGTGTAAGTGCAGGTATAATGAATGCGAGAATACGGACGCAAGTATGTATTATGTGAGCACAAGAATGTAGAGAGAAGGGTTCGGTATGCGATGCAAGGTGTGGTAGACTGGTGCATGGAGATGACTACCGTGTGTGGTGTAGAGTGTGCAACAGTTGTGGCGATGGTGATGTGTATGTAATATGAGGCTACGAGATGGCGGTCCTTGCATGCTACATAAGCCGAGAGTATAAACGTGTGTGCCGAACAATAGAGCGTCTAGCACGGCGTGTGTTCATACGTACCCCATGTATGTGAGACTACTGACATTCACACACGTGCATACTATTCCACAGCGTCATTTAATATGACACAACTGTGTGTATCACCCGTAAACCGCACCACAAACTTACAGCTCAGCACTGGTCGTCCTATTGGCGGGCATCACTGGATTGGCCCGGCCAATGCCCATGGACTCCAGAGCGCTGTGTATGGCCACCACCTTCTCGTCTCTCGTCAGATGGTCTGTGTCGTCCTCCGCATGTGCAGTGAGCCGTTCCTTGTGCTGTAATGGAGCGCGTGGGGGAGATTGATGGTGCATATGCATATGACCTGTAGTGTGTGTGCGCGTGTGTGTGTGTGTGTGTGTGTGTGTGTGTGTGTGTGTGTGTGTGTGTGTGTGTGTGTGTGTGTGTGTGTGTGTGTGTGTGTGTGTGTGTGTGTGTGTGTGTGTGTGTGTGTGTGTGTGTGTGTGTGTGTGTGTGTGTGTGTGTGTGTGTGTGTGTGTGTGTGTGTGTGTGT